CTCTCTCAACGTCGCGACACCGGGTCGAGTACTCATGGGGTCCTTTTTTACCGCTCCCGTCCTTGTTCGCCGAGGCTCGCCCGGTGTCTATAACCCTGACTCCAAGCCGCCCACCCGCGCGAGCCGCCCCGTTCCCAGTTTCCCCGCCTACAACGACGCACGCCGTTCACACTCCGGCGAGCCTGCAATCGCAACGCAAAAGCCGGCGCGCAGACGTTGTAACAGAGCTAAAACGCGAGTGTGATACCGGACGAGCACGCGACGACCGCTTGCTCCACCACCCCAAAAGTGGCTGCCGCCCGCCGTCATTACTCCTCGAAACACCGCCCAAGGATTCTATATAGTGTGACGAGTAAGAAGAGAGAGGGGCAGATAGAGAAGAGAGGGGGAGGAAAAAAAGGGGGGGAAGCAGAGGGGAAGGTTTGCTTGGGTAATCAGCGTGCATAGAAACATTGCATCCCACTGTCCCCCCTATTCCCAGCTCCTTTCCCCCTGCACAGTCTGACACCAAAGAAAAGGGCAGAGAAGGTGCGTTTAAAAAACATCACCGGTTTGACAAAGTGTTAGCACCCCGCTCTGCTGCCAGCGTTGATCTATTGAGATATTATCATAACCTGATGTTTTAATGTGTCACACGTTGGCTCTCACAACTGAAACGATATATCCCTAAGAGTCCCTATGGTACGTAGGGTTTTTCCAGGAGTCCGGCGCGAGGGGCCCACCGGAAAACGGGCGCCCTGGGGGGCGGGGGGCACGCGGCCCCCAGCGGGGGTGGGGGTCAGTAGGGCTACGTCACCACATTACCTGGCTCAGATTTCCATAGGTAAACAAAGAGCAGCCTCAGAGCTTATATCTCTGTGTGGGTTTATACCACCATGAGCCAGAGCCCATTTGGTGTGTTTTTGCACTGACCGTGGGGGAATACTGTGGAGCCTGGAGCCCTTTTTTTCCTTTTTTTTTTTGCATTCCAGTTTAACCCGAGGCAGAAAGGTAGGTGAGCTGAAACAGGAGAGGCTCTCAAACCTCCATGCTGTGGGTTTTTGAAGACGAGACACAGTGTCTCTCATGTGGTTCCCCGCTCTATACATTTTCATACTGCTAAAAGTCATCATCAGAGAGTATTTTCAGACTTTTTCCCCCTCTTCCTTTGTTCAAGGAGGTGTGTGTTTACATATAACATCCTGGTTTATAGATTTTCAAAGATTGCAGGGCAGTTCAGGAGCATGAAGTCCTACACAAGCAGGTTGGCCTACAAAGGTAATGTATCCAACAGCTTTTTAAATGTACACCGCATTATGATGGTTCTCTTCTAAAAATCTAAATCCAACTCAAATGGGCACTTCTAATGCATTTTAATAAGAAGCTCTTATTCCACATCAATTCCCTGTATAGCTTGAAAAAGAAGTCAGCCCTCTTGGGAAGTTGGTAAAAGTGCCTTAAATATGATTAAAGATTTCAAGTGAATGTGATCTGAAATGTAATTAATTTGAATTCAGCAGTTCCAAGAGGATCTGAGCCCCGATACTCTAGAGGACATAAATCTGAGCAGAGTTCAGCTTGAGTGCAGCGGGTTCAGTTGTATAACTCAGATGTCGAGTCCGCTTTCCTGATAGGACTTGTAATCTGGGATAATTGGCCCCTTTCAGGGACTCAGATTATACCAACACCACCGCTGTCAGAGGTAATGGGCCTGCATATACTGTTTGGCAGCTGAATAACAACACACACACACACACACACACATACATATGTGACAAAAAAAACTTCATTTTTGTTTAAGAATGAAAAGATAGCAGTAACATTTAATCTATTAACATGTGAAACTCAAATTTGGTGCTAAATCCAGACTCATATGAGGGAAAGGGAACAGTGATGTGCTCTACAGACACACAATTATGGCTTTCCACTGTCTCCATTGCTCTCTATGCTTCACTAGAGTCAGTCTCATCTTTCCTATGGCAGTACTGACAAAATCTGAAAGTCCGTACAGGCCCAAAGTAAAGAAGTTTCACTCCTAATCGACCTCGGTGTATTTTTCTGTCTAAGTTGCTTTGATCGAGGGTTACACTAAGCAGCAGTTTCTTGGGCTTTTGTAGTCGTGCAGTCGTCTCACAGTGGATTTAGAAAGTAGACTAGCAGCCGAGTTTTTATCCACTTTGTTTTGAAATCCATCATGTTGTGAAAAGTGTCAAGAAAGTGTCAGTGGGTAAAGAAAGAGACAAGGCAGCAGTAGCTGTTTCCCCAAAAACATTAAATATACACGACTAAATGAGTGATAATCAAAGTCAAAGTTTTAACTTTATTCTCAAATCATTCTATTATTTTGTATTTTAATTATTATTTATTAAACGTTTAACACTTTTTTGGGGGGGGTTCTGTGTGGGTGTGTTGTTCGATCAGATTTGAATGGCGCACTCGCAACATTTAGCAAACAAATCCCGATTGGTGGATGGAAATACATGACATCATCTCCGCCCACCTCTAACCAGTGAGAAAAGTACGTGCGATAAACCGAAACGTAGGAACCTCTCATGCGAAAACAACCAAAACCGTTTTCAACTTGGGCAGAAAAATAGTGTGTTCGTGTAAGACCCCATTGCTCAGAGTGAGAAGCTGACTGAGAAAATTTTTTAGGGGCTTTAAGCATTTCAGTATCAAGGTAAAATATTGTCAAATATTGGTTTCACTCTTGATTTTACATAGCGGCTGTTCTGAGGAGAGCTCGGCATGCTCTCCTGTCCAGCCTCAGTGCCAGAAGGAGAGCTAAACACAATTACCGAGAACCCAAACCAATCAGCCCCCTTTTTTCAGATCATCATTCAGATAGCTGCCTTCTGGAAGCTGGTTTTCAAAGGGACTTCAGTTTGGAGTTAGCACGCAGCACACGATTAATAACTTCAATAGCTCTACAGTAAAAAAAAAAAAGCTGTAAGCTGGAAAAAGCAGCAAAATATGTATTTAGACTTAAAGCACCAGCAGCCACCTGAAAGTGAAAAAGGGAAATAAGGAAAATACTCCGTGTTTGCTGAATTGCTGAAGAAGCAAAAGAAGAGAAGGGGACGTTTGGGCTTTCTTGTGCAGAGCCTGGAGCATGATGAAATATGCTGCTCTGCGGTCCCCCGGGGACCACGGAGTCCAGCCGCTGACACATATGCACACATGCAGACCCTGTCACATATGCACACACAGCAAAATCAAATAAACCTGATTGTACGGCATTTGAATGAATGAGCCCTACATAGTGGGTCACATACAGTACTATACAGTACAGCAGGGTTACATGATGATGCACAGGGAGGAGAATGGATTATAGGGGGAGGGGATGTGGAGTAAAGGAGGAGATGGGGGGGAAAGAGCGAAGGGGAAAAAGGGGGCCGAAGCAGGGAGAGTGAGATAGTAAACCAATTACCATAGGACTGGAGAAAGCCTTTCATCCCAAAACTGTCACCACACACGCAAATATACACTTCTATCTGCCTCTCTCCTGCATACAAATACAGGAGCCACACACACACACACACATATGGTCAGACGCATCTCTCTTTATCACTCACTCACACACATATATTCAGAGCTCTCTTCAAACAAATGCACTCTTGATTAAATATTGAGGAGTGCCTGTGGTGAACTGAGCGGAGATACAATTCCTCTCGTCTCTCATGGAGCTCCCCGCCTGTGGAAGAAGGAGGAGGAAGAAGTGCCAAAGGAAAGGGGAGAGAGAGAAGAAGAGGCAAGAACACAGTGGCCTGAGAAATAGGCACAAAGGGAATGGGAGGATGAGGAGGAGAGGAGAGAGAGTGAAGGACGGGAGGAGGGACGGGGAAAGGGATGAGAAACCAGCTGGGCAGCGATGAAAAGACAGGAAAGATGAAACTGAGAGGAGACAAGAAGACGGAGCAGAATCAGGAGGGAATGAAAAGTGAGGGCTGCCATATTGAAATGAAGTAGAAACACAATATGACAGTTAAGGTCATGTATCAAAGAACGGAAGCAAGGCTGGCACCATGAAAGAGCTGTGCACTTCCAGGTAGCTGCACTGCTTTTAGTGCATGATGACGTTATATAAATACTTTTTTTTACCAATGTTGGTTAGTTGGTCGGTCCACACTAAAACATCTAAAGAGTGGACTGCCATGACATTTTGTACAAACACAGTTGTTTTGAGTATTTCCATTTTGATTTGCGAAACTAATAAATTTGGTGCTCACCGGACTTTTCATTAAAGGCATCATCAAGTCAAAATTTCCATGTGTTCAATACTTGGTTGGTTTAGGACTAAATAACTGTAGTGTTTGTAGTAATTAGCTAAATTTAGCATGCAAACACACTAAACTAAGATGGTGAATATTTCAAGCATTATACCTTCTAAACATCAACATGTTAGCATTTAGCTCAAAGCCCCACTGTGCCTAAGTACACCCTCACAGAGCTGCTAGCGTGACTGTAGACTCTTAGTCTTAATTTAACTCAATCTGGATATCGGGTCAGTTTACGCCTCCAAAACGCTGACATGAACATTTTAGCAAATGAAGTCAAAAGTGATATGAACACACGCTGCACTACAACAAAGGAGACTCCCAACATATGTGCTAGAAACTTTTAATGGACTTCAGGGTGATGCTGATCCATTCCTGCTGAGACAATTAAAAAGCCATTAGATGATAAATACTTCATACACTCCACAGTAATTCATATAGTTTATTAAAAACACGCTTCCATGTCCACGCAGGCCCTCAAGCAATTTCTGTTCAGTGTGAGGGTCATATATTATTGCTGTGGTGCGTGGGCAAAGCACAGAACAGTCCTTTCCATACTGTTGCTTCAGGATATCACAGAGCACTGAACGTACCTCTCATCCTAGGTGATGCGGGATTGCCATCTAGCAGTTAACATGGTGAACTGCAGACTGAAGTCAGTGTCAGACTTTATTCCAACCTCTTCAGCCATCACAATGTTCAGTGCAAACCGCAGGCGTTGCACAATTCAGGGGATTTTAAGATCAGCCACTGTAGTGCACGAGAGAAGACCTGGGGACAGGTGGGAGTAGAGAGCTTAGAGAAAGGACAGCGGTCACATAGTGCATACTGAGTCTTTTATCTGAAAAGGTACCTTGAAGGAGCACATTCTGAGCACAGAAAACAAAAAAAGGACTGTTTTGGTGATTTGGGAAATGTTAATGAGTGGGTGGTTCTAAACTGGATGTTCCTAGTACAACTAACTTAGCACAAAAAGTGAACTGAAATTTTCCCCGAATTCGAGTATCATCATTAATAATGAAACAGGATCTGACTAATTTACGCACTTTAATTTAATTTAAGATGGGAATGTCTTTGAGGTGATTTGTGGTTATAGGGAAAGATCAAGTGGGACCCTACCCTTTACTTTACGGGCAGCCTGTAGGATACAGGTAATATATCATATAACTGATGTAAACAAATCTAATGAACAAGTGAAGATTTATGCTTCCCGCTATTCACATGCAGGCACACAAACCCTGGTGGAGGGTTGGAGAGTTCAACCGTTTACCCATTTGACCTCTCCCTTTGATAGGAACTTCAGTAAAAGCATGAGAGGAATGAAAAAACACAAACAGCAAAGCAAGAGGAAGCCAGCTGGCAGTGAACTGATATAAATATGCTGAATAATGTTTCTAAGGAGGTACATCTGTCCATGGAGTTTGCAATCTACAGTTCATTGGTATTGGGGCCACTGATGAGGGGAGGAGATCGAAAGAGCCGAGCTGTATTCAAATGGTTGCAATCTGAGACTTCACTGTAAGATGCCACTAAATCCTACACACACTTTTGTCTTGCTTTTTATGAATATGGGAGGGTATTATTGATGCATATGTATTTGTATTTTCTATGAAGGTTCTGTGCATGATGCCTTTGCGTACATGTACGTACATTAATTTTCTTATTGTAGGGAAATAAATAAACAGGTCATTTATCTGGTTGTTGCAGTAACAGAAGGCGATATATTTTGCCTTATGACTTAATGTGCTTACTACTTCTTACTATCTGTCTATTGATTGTGGTGTTTTCATTGATGTATATGTATTTATTTATATAGGTTTATGCACATGCATTTTTTATTGTCAGGGTGTAAATACATTTGTTAACTATCTGGTTGCTACAAGAGCAGAATATGACATGTTTCTTGTTATGACTTTCTACATTTTTCTTATTAATTTTATTTATTTTGATGTTTTGATTATCTGTATCAGCTGATTGTTGATCACCATCAGGTTCTTTCTGTTTAATCGGGGTCACACCCACAAATGTCTCCCTGAGGAAAGCCTCCTGCTCTGTGGGGTTTAAAGTGTTTATATATGATGGGAGTGTCCCTGCATGCAGCTGCCTGCCTCCACCAGGAGACTGTCCAGGTTTGGGCCCTTTGATCCTAGGATCAACTTTTTCTACCAAAGACACTGTACTGTCTGTGTCACACTGTTGAAAATACTGTATGCAGGGTGTTCTTTGTTCATTTTGTTACTAAATACTGAAACTGTTCTCTTAAAGAGCTTAGCTTCATAGAGTTTACTGGCCCTAAGATGATATGATCATTTCAGGTCTGCCTGGTCTTGCCATGGTTTTTTAAAATCACAGCAGTGTGTTATACGGTTATACAGCACTGGAACACACTACACACTCTGGAGAACAAATTGTCCTCAAACTGCTTCACTGAGGTCTTTAGATGTTGTTTGTTGGATAATATTATTCAACTGAAATATTTAAATACAGACATTTAGCTCCATTGTTTTAAACAATATCTTGTGGAACAAACCACACAGCTATGGAACATCTATGGTTTGTAATATTACAATATTACTAATGCAACTCTAATGTCAGTGACATGGGAGTTTCCCTACTGCAATGCAACCTCTATTATACTATACTGTACATCTTCTGTATTTGGCAAATCAATCTCACCTCATGGCAAATTTAGTAGTTTCTCCGGAGCTTTTGATCATTTCTCATGATCTTTATTAGCAGTTGTAACGAGAGGTTTTCATTTTTTGACATTGATGTTGCCTTAAAGATGGGGTTTCAAAAGTTTATTCATGACAAAATTCTATCTGCTGATATAGAGCATGTAATCAGATTAGTTAGTAATTGGACGTTAAGGTGAGAGTGTGTGGACTGATCTTGAAACTCATCTCCTGTATTCCGGTATTTAAAGGTAAAAATCCTTTTACTGCATAATTATGTTAAACAATGCGATTATTTGTTATGTTTTTTCAATATATCATTAAAAATAACAGATGATGGGATATTATTATGTGGACAAAATGTTTGGAACACATTTTTCTTTATATGTTTTTTTTTAGAGCAGCACTCTTGGAGAAAAACATGCAGTATATCATAATGTGCATTCACTACAAGCTGCTTAGTGTTAAGCCCCCTTTTAAAATGCAAAGTAGCAAAACAGAGAAGTAAATTTCATGTCCTAAAGAAATCCCAAGAGGTTACAATAGAGTACAAAGTTGGAGTAAAAGTGTTCAATGATATTTTAGAAAGAATAAATGTTGTATTTTAAGGATGTATTAAGTTAATTTTCAATAGAAGAGTCACGGTTTCTCTGTGGTTGTGGTAGGCTATAAATTACTGTGGTCAGCAAAACAAAAAAGAAGAAATGAGAGCCTGCTTACAGATGATTCTGAGCACAATATTCACAAATAAATATAATTCATGAATGTGCTTCAATACATTAAAAGTTCAGAAGTGGAATTAATGTATAAGTCAAAACTTTGCAAGTCTGCAAATTAAACTGAAAGTGCGTCTGGATCCCTCCAGCGGGGGGAGGAGACTGTCCAGATTGGCACTTCCCATTAACCTCAGATGCCGCCCAATAACCACTGAGCTATTCTGAAGTCAAAAATTGTCCACTAAAAGTACTGAAACACTCCCTGATCAAAAGTGGACACAAACCCATTCTTACAACATCCTCCATAGCGCAGATCCAAGATCAGCTTATATACAAGCTTTTTTTGACCCAATTTTGGAGTTCTCCAGCTTGATTCCCCATGGGTAATGCCAACAGAGAGGGAAAGTTATTTAACAAAAATAGTAGCAGGGGGAATTATAAAGAATGGGCTATTTTGATTACATTATGATAATCTTACAGAGCCTTTTGAGTAAAGCACTAATGACAACATATGCTGCAATGTTGAGTTGAAGGTAGTAGAGGAAAAGCGTCATATCCCAAGTTTCTCAGAATTATGACGCACAGCAGAATATTCTGGAGACTGCATTGCAAAAGTTTTTGCATGTTCACATATTTCATATTCTTGCATTTAACACTAGAAAGATGATGGAAACCAGAAATACTCCTACTGAAAATAGAAGAAACAGGGAAAGAGTTTATATACATATAGGACAACGGTTGAGGACCACAAATCCCATATGTACAACTTGGAAAGAAAGAAATGTAAATTAAATTCACATTAATTGTTCTTACACTAATTCCCATGTACAGGAACCCAAACTATTGTGAGCGCTCAATAAACTGAATCACACTGAGTATCACAGCAGGGAGAGCATTCTTGGAAAGGGAGGGAGATAAGAAACCCTTTGGCATCTTGCGGGGTCACATCCAGGAAGTAATAAACTCTTAGCAAAACCACCTCACCTTTTTTTTTCCTCCAAGATTCACGCAGCAGTTGAGAAACAGTTTCTGTAGTATTCAGATTTTGGCTTTTTGGACTAACATTTACATCCTGCACTGAGTCACTGAACAAACATGGAGAAGATGAAAACCAGACTAAGAGTCTACAGTTAGCAGCTCTGCATGGATGTAGGAAAAAGCAGTGGTGCTTTGAGCTGAATGCTAACATCAGCATGCTAAAGTGCTGAAGCTAAAACACAACAATAAAATTGAATTCAATAGTTGATATTTCAAACTGGTGGACTGGACCAGTCAGAAGACACATCAACATTAGAGCCTTGCCCTGTGAAGTGAGGCTGCTATATTCTGACTTCAGACACATCCTGGATCCTACACGTCCCATAATTCAGCTTTCAGACTCAGCGCAGACTTTCTGTTAAAAATGTGTAGTCTTTAAACCAAAGGTTACTCAAGTGATTTTCAGGCCTGCCAGAGCCATAAAAGACATTATACAAAAAGCAGTAAATTGACCCCGATATGTAAAATGTGTAGTGCCCCTGTGACAGAAGTAAAAATATCCAGAAATATTGTAACAGGAGTGTCCCAGTGGGTGGTGTCCCTGTGGTGGATAGATGAGAAGTTTTATAGAGAAAAAAATCCCTCATCCACTTGTAAAATAAGGCATATAACATCCAATTTCAGCCATTCAAGTGGATAGTTAAAAGTAAAAATGTAGTTTTAGTTTCTAATAATAATTGTATCTTATAAAGTACACGTAATAATTGACTTTGGTGGCCGCCAAGGGGTCTCCAGACCCCACTTTGAAAAACACTGGGCTAGTAGGCTATATTATAGAATACACAGATCCATAACAGCACACTCAGATGTCAGGTTGGGATGTGGAAGAACTCAGAAATTACAAACTGTAAATATTATTGGATTCTTTCAAATACTTTGTAGTGGCAAGGTCAAGCATATAAGCCACTGTTACTTACTTGGAAATAGTCTCTAAACCATATTTGGACCACCACCATCAGACTGAAAAACTGCAGGTGAACTATCCAGGCAGCTAAATGGAGAGTATACTGGTGATAAAGAGGACACATAAAGTTGACCATATTTCGGACTACTATCAGTTAATCGTTTTTGACATATCCAAATAGTATATGTGCAAAGTAAGTCTTAAAATAATCTCCAGGATAGCTCTTACAGGCTGTGTCACATCGCGATTTGACTTTGACTTTCAAACACCCTGAAGGTCAAAGATCAAAATCATACATGGGAGGGGGGGGGGAAAGTAGTTTCATGACTGATATTGGAACAGGAACATGACACACAAGCATCAGAGTGAGGAAACAACAAGAAAGTCACTGATTGCGTGCATTAATTAAACTTAATTTTAGAAACATTTTCCTTAGATACATGCGATGGTATGAATATCTTACATTACACAAGTGTTTGTGCTAATATTGGGGAGGAAAGTCTTGTGTAAATACTCCAGAGAGTTGACAGGGACAGGCGACTGATCCCTCTGTGCGTAATTAAAATTAAAATAAAAAAACACCCTAATTGTAACTTCTCGTCACCGGATATCATTTGTTCATTTCTACTGATTTTTTTTTTTTTACCATCACAGCCATTGGGATGCTGCTATGCAAATGTATGGTTGTGAGTGTATTTTCCCTTTAAATTATTTGGCTGAAAATATCATAGGGATTTTTTTTTTCTTCTTCCAATTATGTCAGTGCGGTCTGTTTATATTTGTGTATTGGGGGGCCCGGGTGGTGGTGTGGTGTTTTATTATTATTATTATTATTATTCCAATTATTTAAATCATTACTTTAACCAGAGAGAAAACACTTCTATGTTAGATTTTAAAGATGGACACTCCTCTCATCTTCATCAACCACCGGCGGATGCCGGACCGGATGCTTTACGCAAACTTTTCATTCCGTGCCTGTCGCAGAGAGGTATTGGGAAATTCCTCCGGTCTGAAGAATATAAAATGACAGCCCGTCGCAAAGACAAGGCAACTTTCAGCCGGCCCAGACAACCCTCAGCATCAGTGGAAACTCAACAAGTTCTTCCCAGCAGCGCAACATGCCTTCGAAACTCAGTAAGTCATTTGCAGCTTCTGGTTGCGCACGTTTCCTGCGTTTCTTCCTCTTTTCATTCATTCCTTCATTCATTCATGCTTTCCCTCCCCTGCCGCACAGACGCGTACTTGCTCTCTGCGCTGACGCTGGCCGCCGCGCTGCAGTGCGCTCCCGGGGCTCCGGTTGCGGACGCGCCCACCGACAGTCCGGCAGGTGACAGCTCAGGTGAGGAGGGGGAGAGCGCCAATGATGCACCGCGAGGGGACTGGGAGGGAGACTGGGAAGATGCCATTGCAGTGACAAAGCGTCATCAGAAGGAGGTAAGGGCCTTTATCTTCCAGGGATCCGACTTGACTCCTTATAACATAGTCTGGCTTTTCTCAACATGCGTAAAGTAAAAATGCACTCCTGATCTCCATCATTTTTTTTCCCTTTTATCATCTCCTCTCTATCAGTTTGAAGATGAGTTCCACATTGTGGTGCGGACGTTTGAGCTGGAGACGCACAATACTCCCTCACTTCCAAAAACATGCCCTGAGAAGTCCAGCAAGGTGTGGGATCTGCTCCTTTCTCTCACCCTCTTTAAAGCTGATTAAAGGAGAAAGTGTAAGATGGGGTTCATGTGACAGTGATTTTCTTTTCTCTCCTCCCTCCAGGAGGTTTGTCTCCGCTGGTTGGCCCAGGGCCTGCTCACTTACACAGCTCTTCTCAAGCATGTGGAGAAGGAGTCCCCCAGCTCCATCCGCTCAGAGGGCCAGAGTTTCAGGAGTCTTCTCCTTAAACTGACCAGTGGAATCAAAAATAAGGTTGGTTTGAGATGCTGCATACTTGTCTTTAGGGCTAAACACTGGGGGAACACAATATTCCTTTTTTAAACATTTTGTAGCTGTGTTAATGCACTGTGGGGGATCCTCTGTATTAGGTCTGCCATTGTCTTTATGTAATTGCTTTTTATCTTGATCTGAGTTTTCATCATCTTTGTTATATCCAGAGGGACAAAAAATTTTTTACTAAAGTAAAAGCAGCAATACCAAACTGTAAAAATACTCCATTATGATATGAAATGATTGGATTATTGCTGATAACATTATACAGTTGTACCTGGCCAAGGTGGATTTAATTTGACCTACAGTGTATACTGTTGGGTAGTTAAACAATGGCTGTGTGTCATATTTAACAAACTCCTCATGAGTTTTGGTATTAAATCCATAAAGTGGTACATATAGCTGGAAAATGAATGTCATTACAATGTTTTCTTCAAAAATGTAGTGGGGTGGAGTTGGCACAAAATGGAAATCACCCAAGTAAAGTACCACATGTACTTAGTTACATTCCACCACTGCTTATAGATCATTTATTACATATCTAACTTTTGATTTCTTTTGGTTAAATGTCTTTTTTTTTTTAAAGTCTCGTTGTAAATGGAGTGTATAGGTTTCTTATGATGATATGAATAACTTAATTAGTGATGATATGAACAACCCTGTTACTTCTGCCCCACAGATGAGACACAGTGAACACGTCAAAGCACTGACCAGCAGTCAGGAGGGGCAGCTGCTGAGGGACTTCGACAGCCCTGACCCTTTCCACAGGTTAATGACCACATTCAAAATCCTGTACAAGCTCCGCGACTTCCTCATTGATGGAATAAAAAATATCAGAAAAACGACCATAGTGTGGCCAATGGGGGTACGGTACCAATACACTACCAATAATTACAAAAGTATTACAAATCAGTTATGAAGGAATATCTCAGGAAAACTGGGTGGTGTTAATTGTCTCAGGGCTTTAATTGCCTGCTTTTACATAACTTATTTAATTTAATCTATTTATATTTGGTGAAAATTGTTATATATTGGACACAGGAAAATCCATGGTTGTGGGTTTCTTGCACTAAAAATGCAATTTGTACTTGATAATGATTTGATTTTATTGTTGATTTATTTCTGGATGTAAGATTACTTGAGCAGTATTGTTATATGAAAACTAGCAATAATTGTATCATCTATTTTTGTAGAATATATATTATATTTACAGTACTGTTGATTATTTATTTACAGCTTTTATAGTTATTAAACTGCATTTGCTGTTAATGTAATTACAATGCAATGCGCTGTAATAAATGGTATTATTGTCTGTAAGGAATATTCTGTACATATGCAGAAATAAAATAATTTGCATTGATAAGAAACAAGTTTCTTCATTCCAACACTTCTTACAGGCGTCGTATCGTCGCAGGGTTGTTTATTTCTACAAGCTGTTAACAACATGTGCATATTTATCTCTGAGTGAGATTGGAAAATACGACAGAAAGATAAAACCAAAATGTGTTATGACCAGTGAGCAGCTCATGTTATTTTATATTGTGTGGAATTTCCAAACTCTTGTAGTTTTTCTACATTACCTTAATTATTTCTTCAACCAGTTCTTAAAATCAAGAGCTTTGGCTGTCTTCAGATCAAGCATCAACATGACTCCTGGCCAGCAGTGGAGGAAGCATTCAGATTCTTTGTTTGAGTAAAAATACTAATACCGCACTGTAAAAATACTTTGTTACGAGTGCACTGAAAATGTAACTTAAGTATGCAAATATAATCAGGGAAATGTAGTTAAAGCAAAAGTACTCAATGTAGAAAAATGCCCCCTGTGACTGTTGTCGTATCATTAGATTATTACTGATTATTCAAATAAAAGCAGGATTTTACTGTGGTTGGTTGAGGTGGAGCTCATTTTTAACTAGTGTTTGTTTGACCGAGAGCCCAAAGTGACCCCGCTACAATATTAGTTTCATCCAACCAACAGTATGAAACTCAGAATGACTACATTATCAGCATAATTAATAATCAGCAAATCTTCCAATTTGAGAAGTTAGAAGCATGATGAAAGGTTTTTTCCATGAAAAATGACTTGCAAAAGAATTTTCCATCAATTGATTCATCAGTTATTCCACTAATCGTTTCAGCTTTATACTGTTGGGTAGTTTGATTTATTATTAAAAATACTGTATAAGCTATTCATCTTGTAAAGTAACTAGTGACTAAAGCTGTACAGCATTACCCAGTGAAATGTAGTGAAGTAGAAGAATAAAGTGGCATGAAAATAAGACTCTAGTAACTTGAGTAAATGTACTTAGTAACATTCCACCACTGCTGTTGGTAATCGAGACGAGAGTGACATTTCTGTGTGGATTTATTTGCAGAAATTGTACATTACAAATAAAAAGAGTAAAACATGGAATGAAGGGTTTATCCAAACATTGCCGTCGCACACCCAAAAAAAAAACCCTAACAAAAACACCAGCAGATAGTTCAACCAAGACCACACGTTTTCAGGGACAGAGTCTTGATTCCAGCTTGTTGATACAAATATCATCTATCCATGAGGCCGACGCCCTCCATACATGTACTGTATATGTGGCCATGAACAGTATGGCCGCAGGTAGCATTCGTCCATTACTTCTCGGACACAGTATGATTTATGAAGAGGAAAGTGAAACATCATGTCCATTCCTGGATTTCCAAGGTCACGTGGGTCACATGGTCTCTATGAGATGAGGAGGGGGACTGGCTGTGTGAAGACGCTTCTTAGCCCCATAGCAAACTAGAGGAAAGAAAAATAAAGGTTCAACTAGAATCCCAAAGTTCCACGGTTCGCAATCACTGGAAAGTTTATATTCATATTTTTTTTTTTTTTTAAAGGACCAGTGTGTAGGACTAAGTGGCATCTAGCGGTGCAGTTCTAGATAGAAAAATGTCACCTTCACAGTGCGAAGAAACTACATGGCTGCGAAAAGCCCAAAATACGTTAGAGCCAGTGTTTAATCTGTCCCTTTTAAATTTTGCATTATTACATCAGCTTACTGCAACTACAGCTAAAAATTGCTGACATCAACATAAATGTATGCTGGGGATTTTACTGGTGTCAGAAGCTAAAACTGTTTAGGAAGAAAATGAAACTTATTTCTAAATTACACTTATCATTATGAAGATTTTTTTTCAGTATAAAGAAGGACACTTTAAATAAATTAAGGAGATATCCTACAACATGTGACATACAGAGTATGAGCAGAAACTGGGGATTGGTGTAAGATACCTCCTGATGCACTTTAGGATTGTACAAGTAGTTAAGACAGAGATTGATGCTATTACAAGATTAACTGTATCTGTATGTCGGCAAGTGTAACACAGGGCTCTGGCTAGTGAGTGAAAGCATAATGACGACTGGATGATATCAGTGCTCTCCCTGCCTTCAGAGATCAGAGGTCCGAGATCTTTTTGCGGTTATTTCTTATCTTGTGTTAATTCGCTGATTCAAATGGAGTGTTCTGCGTTGGGGACTTTGGGTAAAAGCGGAAAGTGCCGGGTGTCACTGCTAGAAAACATCTTGATAAGATGCTGCGTGGTTCATCAGAATTATTTCCAATCCCAAATTCTAATTACGAAAAATAACCACCACAATTTAACTGACATCGTTCGGTCAAATAGAAATAATCCAGAACCCATCAAATGACACATTTTCCTTTCCTGACGGTTGAACAGCTTGTATGACTAGTTGACAGTTAGGCCAACTCTTCCATGAATAAAGGAAATAGGTGGATAGGTGTGAAAACTAGTGGTGTTGCAGTTCACACCTTTATGTTTGCAGCTTCTGAAATCAGATATATAATTCAACAGGAGGCACAAAATTTAAACCAGTATGTCTTTACCTCAACACTGTGGGTTCAGGCATTCCTGGATCTGCTCCTCGTTTGAAACCTGCAAATCAGAACCACAAACAAGAATTCAAGCATACTGGTTTACGTCCGAGGACAAGAAGAGTATAGAAAATCTACTGGCAAATAAACTATCCAGTATAAGCCTGGAGTTAAATACACTTTTTTTTTTACTATTAAATTTGTGAAGTGCCTTTGCGCTTAAATATGATACAGCAAAATCTGTATCAATGGTTTCACTCTGCGTGATTATGGTTTGTCAGCATATTACCCCAGTTTGCTCAAACAGCATCATTGCACCAGAGCACTCACTCACATTGGCGAAGGCTTTGAAGAACCTCTTTTTTTTTTTTTTTTCTTGGGTGAAATGCAGTGAATTGTTTGTAATCACAGTTAAAAAGTAGTGCGTGAAACCGCTGACTCAGCACCTCCGCCCCACACACAGAAAGCAAAACACTGTGTATCATTTCCCCAATTATCTTTCTAGATCAGATCACAGGTCATGGGTACCATGATGCAACTGATTCTTAAGAAAAAGGCAGGATTACCAGTTTCCACTCACTCCCCCGTTAATCTAGGGCTGCAACTGAGGGTTTTTTATGCATCAATTGATCGTATATAGAATATGAAATCCAAAAAAATATAAGGAAAAAAGAACAAATGCCCATCACCTATGTTTTCAGAGCCTGAGGTGTCCAACAAATGGTTAAAAAAGAAGTTCATTTTAACATAAGGGAGAGTAAAAATCTTCTTGAAAACTTTCTTCTATGGATATCGACTTTTACCGTTGATTAATAATCCTTTAATTGACAAATTGTTTCAACGCCATCTCACATGTGCAGTGTAGTTTAGATGGCGGTAACCCGAGAGCAAAAAAATGTCATGCGCAATCTAAGAAAATTCTGCCCTTGAGAAGCAAATGAGCAACAAGAGGGAAATGCATATAAAAAAGGGCAAAAGAAAGTGAGTGAAATGAGAGGGGGAGAAAGTATGACATCAGCATTGGTCTTTCCAAAATGCTGAAGTCAGAGAAGATTCACTCGCAGAGGGCAACTCCCCACCGGCTGTGAGGTCAGACATGCAAAAGTCTTAACTTCCCCAGGTTTGCTCCTAACCACAGCCATGCATAGATCTCAACTTCCCCATCTCTACTCCAAACCATAACCACGTGTTTGAGTGCTGCAGACATTACCAACACTAAAAACTAAAACACATGCGGACATGTGCTGGACTTGAACACATGGACACATTTAAACTAACTCTCTAGAAGGACTTCTTGACATTGTTTTGATCAAAGCAGATGGCAGCTTGCACAGCCCTCAGTCCATTATTCATAGATACCTGTCACATGCTGGTGTTAGGAAATAATGACATTAAAAGAGGCAGATAAGGTGACAGACTGCTTTCTTAAGGAGATCAGGTTCATCACTTATTTTTTACTTAATTTTACCGCATTAATATAGGACTACATCACCATTTATAGTCTTACATGCACTACATGACTTCTCCTGAGGGCAATTTAGAGTCTACTACCCCTATTAATGCTACACCTGAGTGCTACAGAACCAGCACACTCGTTGCTAATATATATAATAATAATAATAATAAAACAACACTGGAAAATGGAAACATTTCTACCTTAATTATTTCATACTGGGCAGCAATTACTGGCTGTATAAGTTCAAAGTTGAAGCTACGTCACAGTCACCCTTCCTACGTCAGGCAGCTAGCTCACAGTTTAAGGCTAGCGTTGCTAAGCTAGTCGGCTAACGTCAGCGAGGCATGTCCCGTCAGCCCGCGGTGTTTCCCCCGCTCCTGTTCGGATACTGACCGAGGTACAGCACGGTCGGGATGAACCCCCATCGGATGACAAACTGGCCGCACTGGAACAGCTGCTGCAGCCGCTGTTTGGTCTCTTTGCTCAGTTTAGCCATGTGTTTACTCCGGACAGCGACGATGCTGCTGCTGCTGCTGCTGACAAGGACACGGTTGAGAGGAAGTGACGTCAAAGACCCAGCTGTTAGCCAACGTTGTACATCTGTCGTAGGCCGCCATCTGGTGGACAGACGTGGGATTGCGCGTCCGCTACAGATGTGTGCCGTAAGACTAAATACATTTCATTACATTACTTGTTTCAAACTTTAAAATTATATTCGCTGGAGGTCCCTATTGAAATTGCTTCCCTGAACATATACGAAAACTCAA